GCCGCCCGTGGGAGCCGGCTGGCGTGGGGCCTGCGCTCGGGAGCGGGCTTGTTCCCCCTCCGCCGCGTCCACCCCTACGGCCGAAACGGGTAACCGAAACAACCCCTCCCTCTTCCTAAACGTGCCCGCGAGACGCTACGAACCAGAGAGCACCATCTCATTTACATATGCCATCAGGCCTTTGGGTGCCGATTGCACCCGTGAACGAGCACTGTTTATACGCACAAGTAACCACACAGCACGTGTATTACATGTAGGTATTACCATCCTACTTAAAACAATAAACGGGTAGGACGTTTGCAGATACATAACCCCTGAGGTTCCTAACACAGAGTTCAGAACACCGTTTGACTTTCAATCATTTCTTTAAACGACAAAAAAGTTTCACTAATAAATTATCACCTATCTACCCTACCCGTGCTAGAGTTTCAGGCCATTGTCATCTGCAAGGGTATTTTAAGCAAAGGTGAAGATATATTTAGAATCTGGGTTTTGGGCAAACGCTTTAACGGAGGGAGGATTTCGGCACAAAGCATTCCCTGGCAAATATGAGTGAGATTCTTCCTAAAAGTCTGGTTGGAAAATCTTTGTAACCAATACTTCGACGACACAATGCTTCTGATACACTTAAGTTACCTTCGTTCCTCTAGGATTCCCTTATTTTCCAATAAAAACTATACCTCTCTAACCGATCATCTCCTACTAAGTTCATTACACGAAGAAAAAATATTCGGTAAAACAGATACAACCTCAACTCGCCTTGAAAGAGAAAACCCTTGGTAAGTAACAGCCTAACCATTAACAGTGCCGGAGCTTACCTCTTCAACTGTCAAAGGCATACAGATCCGGTACTCCTTCATGAGCATATTCCCGCTGCCTCAGTGCGGACCAGCAAACTGGGAGAAAAGTGGTTCTTTCTGCACGACGATCACGACGAATACCAATCGCGGGAAAAAAATAGTCGAGCCTCTTTCTCTGTACGCGCTTGACAGTGTGTCCACGGGGGAGTAATGCGACCATCCAGGAGGGCTGACCCGGCCAGAAGAAAAACCAACACAACTGCTCCTTTCTTCCAGCTCTTCCTCCTTCAGCCTCCGATCACGGGAATTTCACACACGCTCGCACCGGGATACGCTACCGAGTCTCAGACCCCAGACGCTGACGGTACGGCCACAGACATCCGGCGGAAGTCAACGAAAACGGCAGGCTCTCGCAGCTATGTCAAGACATGCCTGGGGCGGCGAAAAGAACAAACGAGCCGAAAACGTGGCTTCCACCGCCGCCGGCAGCACGTCGGGCGGCGGGGAAGATGCGATGCCGATTTCCAAGACAAAGCCTTTTTATAACGTTTCCTTCCCCGCCTGCCAAACGCGGCTCCCACCTCCCCACCGCAACGCGGCGGCGGCCCCCGCGGGCCCCGGCCGGGCGGGGGGG